TTTGGAAAGAAGTGGTAGAGGAAATGGCAGTTGTTCCGGGTGGGTAGAAAACGAAGACCTAAGACCTAAGACCCATAAATGAAGACCCCCTCAAAATTACTTATAAATAGCTAGAAATGGCTATATCGACCTGAGATGTATGACAAACAACAAGATCTTCAATTGTCAATAAATTTGACCAGGGTCTTTGGTTTCTACAAAACTCCCCCATATACATGACCATTAGCAATTATTTAAATATTGTGCTTGTTTTTGATACAAAGCTTAAACTTCAAAACTCAAAATGGCTAAATCTTTTTTTGAAAAATAACATGGACAGAGATTGTTTAGACGTGGTTCTGTTTTAATATTAGAACTAAGCAAGCGTAGGAAGATGTAAGCAATAAAAGAACCACCTCAAACTACCCTTATGAAGAATTGCAATTATTAAATTTGATAAATTATTTATTAAGTGAAAAATTGCGTGATATTACTTGAGCATCTTTTCAAAATGCCTTTTATAATAACTATCTTTATTGCTTTTCTCTGCATGTTTCTAATCTATAGATCATGGCAGTATCTTACTTTTGATCCCAGACCAGTTGTTTTTGTTCGTATTGTTGGTGTTGACAATACAGCAAATGAGGTATGCATCATTGTAGTGGAATAATTTCAAAGCTGAGTCCCGTAAGCAGATACCCTCAGAAAGCTGATTAATTGTCTGTAACTACAGCTGGCCATTCTTGTAGTGGCATCTTCCTATATAAAGAATAAGGGGATAGTTACTGGAGCTTGCACCACTCATACTAACCATTTTAATCCAGAAAGAAAATACCACTGTTAATGAATGATTGTATTGTCGTAAGCAAATTCTGACCTTGGCAAGAAGCACTGTATCCTGTACTAAGGGCCTTCATTGGGGTGTTCAAGTCTTACTTTTCAGCTGCATTATCTCAGCTAGCAGTTAAACGACTGGCAGCCCATTTCTTGGCTATTTTTTTTAAAACCTCAGACCTCATAAGCAAGAGGATTTCTTTTTTGCATTGTTCCCTTAGTCCACTTGCCAAGTATATGAAATCTTTTTGTAGGTGGGGAATTGAGTAGTCAGGGAGTTGTTTTGGTTCTTTTTCCTTTTGTTTTCTTGTGAGAGTAGCCTGGGTTCATGATCCTAGTAGCCTGGGGAAATATCCATCTCACGGCCCTAAGTGACAGCCTTGATCTGAGAGTGTCGCAGCCACTTATGATAATCTGTAAATACAGAGGTTGTATGGAAGTTCAATAGAGCTGTCCACTGATGACAGTGAATGTTATTAGAGCTGTCCACTGTTTAATAATCTTCAATTTTTTTTCTTTGAAAGGTATTTCATTGTGTCCATTTTGAGTGCCCAGCCAATCAGAAGGAGCCCAGTATCTGCGGCAGTGACAGAACAGACAGCTCGGAGCAAAGTGTGATGTTAGGCGACACTACAATCAGCTCCATTATGTAATTTTATAGAAAAGCGCTCTTAATGTAAAAGGTTGTAGTTGAGTGTTTATAGCATTGCTCAGTTGAATCTCCACGTGCGCGTAAATGTCTTTACAAAATACCAAAATCAGTTTCTGAGCCAATGCACTTTAGCTGAATCCTCTCGTAATCAATCACAAAATCTTAGTACAGTGGAACCTCGATATAACGAACCTCTATATACCGAAATCCTCACGGTGTAACAAACTCAGACTATTGATATAGAGCGAATTTACTTGACCCGTGAAACAGTTTATAACAACTAGTGCAAAATAGCTGCAGATAAACAAAAGAAAACAATAGAATTAGTGCATCATAGTGCGTAGTATTCTACTACCTATTTCACTGGTTTAGTAAAATCACTCTATTCTTCACCCTAGTAATCGCAAAATGCATGAAAATGAACCTCGACATAACTAAACCTGGTCAGAGCGAACCGATATTTTGCCAATCACTTGGCGCTTCATTTTAGGTCAGTGCAAACGAGCGAAAAAAGCGGGCGAGCGGTGAAAAAGCGTGCAAGCGAAAGAAAACGGCAGGAAGGGGAGAACTTGTAAGCGTCTTTCCAAACACCTCAGTCAGCCCACTAGCAGAAAAACTGCTTCTCATGTCAGAATGGCAAGTGTTAAAATGTCAAAATTTGCAGTGTTGGAGGCGTTTACACGCTCGCCTACTTTTTCCTTCGTCTCCGCGTGCGCGAAGCCAAGACGCGACGGCAACAAGAACGTCGTTTCTAGAGTGAATTTGTGTTCTTCCAGTCTTTATGGCGATTATTCCTACCCACTTACTTTGTCAAATGAAGGCGAACTCTCCTGAAATTGAATTCTAAGGGACCATATCGAAGCTCAGGAAGAGAAATAAAATTTCGTATAGTTGCTTGTTGACTTGTACAAAAATATGCAAAATTAGGCATTAACACGTGGTAGTCGTGTAAAAAAGGAAAAGAAATGTATAAAAAATGTGTGATGCACGTGCGAATTTCAGTTGTTGTTTTGCTTATTAACGCGTTTGACGTAAACTGTTAAAGAGGGCGCTTTCCATTCAAAGAAAAGTTTCGAAAATCTGGATACCGTGGCAAATAGTACAGAAATTTCCCAGGAAAGTTTCCAGAAATTCAGGAAACTGTTGAATTTCCGAAGTGCGAACTATCAACCAAAAATTCTAGAAATTCCGGGAGCAAAGTTGAATGGAAAGAAAACTCCCGGGAAAATATTTCAGAAAATTTTGGGTATACCTCGCGAGGTTGTCCTCTTGTTGGAAATTTTGGAAAAAGTTCTTCTATTCACTATTGGAAGTTGCCGAAAATTCAAACCGAAAGTTTAGGTCAAATGGAAAGCGTCTATTATGCTTACTCGCCTCTCCCCTGCTTCCCTGCGATTTTCGGGCAAATTTTCTTTTGTTACTGTCGTGGAGCCTGGAACAGGCTGTTGTATTAAGGTTGTACTGTATTTTAGGTAGTAACTTGTATATATTTAATTTTTCGGTGTCTGAACCTATTAGAAAGTAAGCCAGTGCTTGTAACATTACTCCCTCCCGGGTGAAATTTCGAATGACTAGTGCCCACAGTTTCTGTATTTGAAATTGTCCAGGAGAGGAGAGGGGAAATAACATAAGTTTGGCATTATGACATGGTAACAACATGTAACATGGTAACACCTACTCTTGATCTTACACGCTTAGTGTAGGAGAATTTTTCATGAAAGCAACTGACCCTACCGTTTCATTACTGCGACCAATCCCTCCGCAGGGCAACGTTGAACAATGCAACAACCACCTGCAAAAAGGCTGAGAAACTGCAATTTATTTGGCTGAAAACGGTGTTTCTTGGACGGTGTGAGATTCACGCCCCTACCACCCTTAAGAATTTTGTCACCGAGGCACATTGAAATTATAAAAGGAGTTATTTGGCAAAATCTAGTCTTAACCTTTCTGCATCTGGTAGAAGCTTTTCAGAAACTACATGTAAATGAACGATCGCAAAACCGATTGGATGAAACTGGAACCTTTGAAGTTATAAATGATTTTTATCTTTTAACTTACTCAATTCAGTAGTTTACAAGGTACAACAATAAAAGGCAAAGATATAAATGTACACGTGGTGATCATTATGGAACTACACATATTAAACATTCAGAAGGTTTAAGTTCCCCTACAGCACATTTTTGCCACTTCAGATTTAATATCAAAATCAGAAGAATGACTTTGTTACCAAATCCCTTCGTAAGTGTCTTAACACTTCTACACATTTGTGGAATTGCTAAAAAAGTCTGAAAAAGGATTAAAATTCCTTTTCAGTCATTGTGTTCAAGCCGTTGTAAGCCATTTTCACTTTGGCCAACTCTTTTATCTTTTAAAACACCATTTATAGCGGTGAACAAGGCGTACACTAGAAAATAATTTATCTCCTTAAGATCAAATTAGTTTCAGGAAGAGAAAACGTTGTCTATTAGCCTAATTGACCTCTTTAGCTTCTACGTTTTGTTTTCCCAATACAGGTCATGTGATGATACTCTAGAGAACTGTTTTTTTCAAATTTCGTCTTATTCAAGTGCATATGTACGCATAATTTATGAAAAGACAAAGAGTCAAGTTCTCCTGGGACCTCTACTGGGAGAACAAAACATACAAGCTAAAGAGGTCTTTTTCAGCTTATAAGGTATTATCTTTATCTAATTACGTTAATCAACTTAATTTGAGCTTATTTTGCTACGTTTTCCCATAAGTGACCACTTTTCTGTGTACCAATGGTGGTCGTTTACAAGAGAGTTGACCGTAGTTGGTTTGTTTATTACAAGCAAGCGAGACTTCACCCATTTAAAAGCGTTCTTGTCTGTAAAACTTCTGTATCAAACAGACACCTCTACTGAGCGGACCTAATAATAGGGTCCCGTGAGTAAAGTAGCACAGTATTTTTAAACTGAATTCTATAAAATGGTGAAAATATATTCGAAAAAATATATACAGGCTTACTACGTTCCAAAAAGTCTAAAACTTAATGCTCACACTCTAAATCAGAAAGATCTGTTTTAGCCCTAACAACAGGGCCGTCGCGGTGAGTAAAATACAGTCCTATTTTTGGGTCTAATTTGGCTCCCTTAAATCAGGGCCAATACAGTCCAATTAGCTATGGCTGATTTGGTCCCAGGGCTGAAATAGACCCTACCGTGGGCTGGAAAAGCCTTTTGATAGGGCTTTTTGGCCTAAATTGTGCTCAAATGGCTCCAAGAAGGGCTGAATCAGACTTTGGCCTGCAGGGCTGAATTGACACTTTGGGGCTGAAACAGATCTTTTTAATTTACAGTGCAATAATGCGAAGTTATGACTAGGCATTTCATTGCACTAACATTTCTTCATAACAAGATATAACAGTTACTGCATGCAATTACGTGGTTAGTAATGGTTGATGAGGATCGCTCTGTAGTTTTTGTATTTGGCTGTATTTTGGTTTTCAAAATGTCAAAACCATTTTATGGAGTTTTTTCACAGCGTAGAAGTAGTGTCCCTTGAAAGGAAATGTTTAGGGCATATTATGGATCTCAATATGAATCATCACAGTATCATCTTTAGAATACTGTGGGGCACAAACCATGTTGATAGGCGCAAACTCTGCGTAACCATACAGTGTTTTGTATCGCCCGGCAGCCGTGGGTTTCTGAAAAGCTGCCTGATTTCTGTTGGCCACGAACGTGCCACTGATATCTTGGCGGAAGCCATGAACATCAGTGCTTTGATCCTTGATGGTGAGAGAGATTCGTCCACAGAAGGGCCACTCCAGAAGAGTATCATATTCTCCCTGCATTATGCCAACAAAAAGGCCAATGTGTCTTCCATCTCCGCCATCAATGCCTCTTGGGAAGATACGCATGAAGAACTTGTATCCATGCAAGCAAGTGTAAATCGAAGGACTGTCAAGTGATGTTACTATTCCATTGCCAGCATACTGGAAAAGCAGAGACCGGAAACCTTCTATCTTCCAAATATAGTTTCCATTACAGATCTGACCTGGTGTTATCAGAGGCTCTGGTGGACTTGACCTAAAGAGACAATTCGGTTCATACAGTAAACCTCCGTTAATAAGCGCCCCCCTCTTATAAGACCCTTCCCCCGCCCCCCAGTTATAGGCCAATCTTCCTGTAAACAAATAAATATTTCCGGTGAAAAGCCTTCCTCTAGCTGTAATAAAATGAATTCGATTTTTTACGATGTATTGAAGCTTAAAACAGTGAGTAAATACAAAAAGTATTTTGACCAGCACTTCTATGAAGCTTGTTTTGAAACACTTCGTTTATGAACCATCCTAAAACACCTAACGAAGTTGTATAAGCCCAGGGCTTTATAAGCGGAAGTTACGGCTCCGCGGTAGATCATTTCTTTGTTTTAAAGCGTTGGTTGTTTTATTTGAGGGAAAATTGAGTTCTGGCAGAAAAAAAAGAAAACAATTGAAAACAGTCCTTAACATTCGTAATATCGTAATATGCAATGCTGACTGAAAATCTCACGACTTGACCTTTTACGGGTTTCTTTCTTTAAACAAAGGTAGTATTTCGGTAAAAAAAAAAAAACGAATGAGAATCAGATTATTAAACGACTTTGATTCTGCTATTCCTACAGGCTCATTAGAGTTGTAAGACCAAGCAGTGCGATTCCAATCATTTCCAGGAACAACATGGCGCACCGCCTTCCCTTGGTCGGAGGAAGAGACCATTTAAAATAGCCCTCGACATAGTTGGATGGGATACACGGACATTCGGCGTTTAATTGTCGTACTATACTGACCTGTTAGAAGTCAGCATTCGTTGCAAACTGGACGTAAGCGTGTGTTCACGTGCTTGGTTCCGCTCTGGAAATTGACTGGTCTCCTCGACAGACCTGATTTCATCGACCGACTCAGTTGCATACGTCCTTCTTCGCCCACAGTGCATTTGACTGGTCAATGGTCTTGCCTCAGCCCCATCGTTGAACTGCACTCCTCCAGCGAACACCTCGTACTGCATTGGCTGTCTACCTCTTGAGTGCAACTGGTATAAGGGAACCATCTGCATTTCATTGACATTCGAGTTCTGATTCTCCACAAGTAGCTCCGTCAGGCGATAAGGGTATCTTGATGGTACAATTTCCAATGGTGGCATCCCTTGGGGATCAATCAGCCCATTGTGAACCCCTCCAGCGTTAAGCTGACCAAGGAAAGGTTGTTGAGATCTTCCTGTCTGTTCCCCACTATGAACGGGTGGTGGTTGACCAATGATCGCCTGTAAAAGGTAAAAATGCATGTTGGTATAATTCTCAGACGGGCAAGGGGTAAAATTATCAGTTTCTTGTGATCGTTTTTGTCGTGATCGTTTTTTGAGTACACAAATAAATTCGCCAGCAACAGTCAATAACAAGCTAACGGTACAATTATTATGATTGCCATCCCCGGTCTATGGCCGAGGGTAGCTGCAGTTTAATAAAAGTTCTAAACCAGAACTTGCNGACATTCGGCGTTTAATTGTCGTACTATACTGACCTGTTAGAAGTCAGCATTCGTTGCAAACTGGACGTAAGCGTGTGTTCACGTGCTTGGTTCCGCTCTGGAAATTGACTGGTCTCCTCGACAGACCTGATTTCATCGACCGACTCAGTTGCATACGTCCTTCTTCGCCCACAGTGCATTTGACTGGTCAATGGTCTTGCCTCAGCCCCATCGTTGAACTGCACTCCTCCAGCGAACACCTCGTACTGCATTGGCTGTCTACCTCTTGAGTGCAACTGGTATAAGGGAACCATCTGCATTTCATTGACATTCGAGTTCTGATTCTCCACAAGTAGCTCCGTCAGGCGATAAGGGTATCTTGATGGTACAATTTCCAATGGTGGCATCCCTTGGGGATCAATCAGCCCATTGTGAACCCCTCCAGCGTTAAGCTGACCAAGGAAAGGTTGTTGAGATCTTCCTGTCTGTTCCCCACTATGAACGGGTGGTGGTTGACCAATGATCGCCTGTAAAAGGTAAAAATGCATGTTGGTATAATTCTCAGACGGGCAAGGGGTAAAATTATCAGTTTCTTGTGATCGTTTTTGTCGTGATCGTTTTTTGAGTACACAAATAAATTCGCCAGCAACAGTCAATAACAAGCTAACGGTACAATTATTATGATTGCCATCCCCGGTCTATGGCCGAGGGTAGCTGCAGTTTAATAAAAGTTCTAAACCAGAACTTGCATAAGTAGACTTTTATTCAAAGCTTTTACTTAAAGATTGAGTGATTCTACTAACCCCTGACAATTCGGTGCCAAATAGATACAAATATGTAAAAGAAAACAATGCCGGAAATTAGATTTCAATACTGCGTATAGTTAAGTTAAATAATACCATCCTTAGCCACAACTTGTGATAGAAACTCAGATTTTAGTTTCCGCGACATGCTTGATGCAAAAAAACCAAAGCCGATCGTTACCACAACGGAACAGTTTCCTCCTCTAATGCTAAAAATGCTTTGGATCGAAGCCACCAACCATGAACGAGGTTCGTGATACACCAACCACTAACATCCATGGCCTGGGTACAAATAGTTCTACTCAGTTGAACGACACTATCGCCTGATGAAGACATGCAGTACGCCGTCGAAACGTCGCGATCAATATGAGACAAATGATTAATGAAACCCTTTATACACACTATCCACGATGAACAATATCTTTCATGACAAAAATCAATTCAAAGAAATTTTCTTTAATTTGTTCTGGTAAAAAATTGATTTTATTTGTTTAAAATGTTGTCGCTGACATTTTAAAAACATGACGATTCATCTAGCATCGGCAGTGATCCTTTCTATCACATTTTGGTGCCCAACACAACGAGCAGATTGTGTCATTGAGAAAATGCGGCTTTTCTACAGTTCTAGTTTCATCCTGATGGGTTAGTTATAACACGGGATGCTGACATGAGGCACCTTTTGAAATAAATATCTACCTACCGACTGCTCTATTGGCTCTCTTGCTGAAGCAGCTGCATGTACTGAAACTCCATTATTCCCTCTGTATAAAAATTATAGCAAAATACAACATGATCCTAGCCCATTGTCCTTAACTCGAGACGAATTACCTATGGAATAGGGTGTATATGGGGGATGCCCTCTCTGTCCCCTTTATAGTCTCTTGGTCTCGAGTTATTTTTAGAATCGGGATAAAGTTACCTCGCGCGCTGCGTGGATGTTTCGTGGAGGTTCCGCATGACTAAACGTCGTGCAAAACATGTCGGGCGAAAGGCAATGAAAGCGTAAAGAGATCGAGAGCATTTCTGAATAATGAAGCGAAATGAGTCGGGGCTCACCTGGGAAAAGGGAATCGCTAGACTCTTTGACAACCCGTGAAATCAGTTTAACTCGAAGTTGTCGTAACTTCAGTGCTTTAATAAAATGAGAAATTTCGCCGGTCTATTGAAACCGGTCGTTTGTATAA